AAGAGAGATACGTTTATACGGCGAACACAGCTGCGAGCAGAGATATAGCGACAGAGTGAATGGCAATGATGTATATTATATTATTAGAATCACTGCATTCTTCTTCATGAATTGCCCAAACACTAAATAGTTTAACTTATATATGTCTTGCATCCAAGTTGGTGGCGTGCATAAATTGATTTGAAGTAACTTGAGTACACGATCGAAACAGTGAATTCAAACAAACTTACTTCGGAAAGAAAGTCTTCGCAGGAGTAGTGGGCTTTCAATAGTATAGCTGTTATGGACAAGAAGATGGAAAAGGTAAGCATACCTGACAGAAACCTATTGCAACAGGGCATACAGATCTCTCCTACCGCAATGCCCACTTGCCGAAGTGTATCACCATATACAAGCAGAAATGCCTATGCCCCTGTAAAAACCTACGTTATGAGCGAAGCAGAAAAACCTACTGGAAACGCGTCTTACTAGAGGTAAAGAAACAGCATGCCCACACGGTGAACATAACAAGTTTGACGCCGAAAAGCGAAGCGCTCGAACATACGATCAGGGCTTTTACATGACTTAAAAAACATGCAAATGTCGGATTCGGCTTGATGATAAATAAGCACAGAATACCTTGAACATGATATTAGAAAAACACATCACTATCTAATGATATGGAAAATAACTTCAGTCACACATATTCGTCTAATGTTTTTGGGATATGGCCTGGTGTAAAAAGGCGGTCGTGACGATGAATAATACACCCTATGGCGTAAAAATAAATTTTCACCTATCAAAAGAGTATCTCCTAACTGGCAAATGTAACACCCGCTAATTATTATATAGGCAGATGTTGACATAAGATCAGCTGGTTTCTTGATCTAGTAATAAATATTGGTGTCTTCTCTGAAAACAAGCTCTTAGAACGATTTTGCAAAGGATATATTTTGGAAGACTATTGGGCCGATGCATCGTTGACTGAAAATAAATGGCATCAAGTCTTGGCTGGGAATCAAATTGTGTTATTATTATTTTGTACAAGCACTCCATGATCTATGGTAGTACTTATATCTCCTATACTACGTCCATACGAAGCGATAAAAAGACCCTCCAAAAAAGCCGTAGACAATTGATGACCTTTTGTCAATTTTTGGTGCATGATAGATAATAGATTGATCGTACAGTTGATGTTAAATAATTAACACCATACACAGAAGTTTTCATGTAATGCTATAGGCAGTTCTCGACCTATAGGCTGTCGCCAAAATATTAATAATCCGACGCGACTACATTTATTAAAAGCAATGCGTTGAAATATATACGTTGTCTAATTTGCCATGAAACGATCAAAGGGACAGAAGTATTCGATTCGAGGATATATAGCTCTTTCTATGAGAGTTCCACCCAAATCTGATATACCATTTTGACTCGCAGCGTTCACGTATTTTTCCTGTCAGACTGTATCGTACGAAAACGACCGTTTCCGCTTCATCTCAAGGAAAAAATATCCTAAAAACCACCTCAAATAGCAGTAAATTCCATTTCAGCATCTAACAAAGCTGGTAGGGCGCCAGATTTGTACGCGTATTAGGTCTTCGAACGTTCTCATAAGTGCGATATTTTGATCTGCGTTAGTCTGTATGTCATGCATGAGTGACGATAGCTACGGGAAAATGAAATTGGTTTGTTCCATAGCTAAACACAATGCAATTACAAAATCATGATATGATTTTGTGCAACGATGTTAATTAATATAATCACTAAAGTAAAAGTACAAGTTAACTAACTTTTTTTTTGTACCGCATTATTAAACACGCATATAATATGCTATGATGTTAAATGTGCTCGGAGTTTACTGTAAGGTCCCCTTACGGATATGGACATTCTACTAGCATTTTTTATAACAACAAATATACTAACAGGTGATAGTAACAATAACTATAGTAAACAATAAATGCAAGTGAACTTGGAGTAATGATTGGTACTCCTTATAGCGGTAGGGCGTTTACGTCGTGTACCCATCACATGCTGTCTATCTAGCTCGGCAGTGTCTTTACATTGAAGCTCCGAGTAAATGCTTCCTGCTGCAACAAGAGGGTGTGTAGAGCTAGCAGCTAGTTTTGTTAGCCTTCAAACTATAAGTCGATAGAAGGAGAACAAAGGAAAAAAATATATATATATAGAAAGAGAAAGCGAGAGAGAGAGAGAGATAATGCAAGTATGAAGAAAGCTAGAGATCGTAAAAGACACTGGCACGGGGAGCAAACTAGCATAAACGTAGAAGTGGTTCGTTTCTCACATGTGTGTGGGGCGTTTACGTGGTGTGAGATCGAAACGGTGAACTTCCGTCTGAGAACAGGGCGGTGACGACAGAGCCACCAGCCGGGCCCGGGAACCGTATTGCCCTGGTCCTGTTTCAGTAGCACCAGCAAGAGCCTCACTGAGTCAGCAAGACTTTCAAATCGATATCAGACTTCTTTCCCAATGGAGCCTCCCAAAAGGAACGAATAAGGGAAGTGAACAAGGAGCAAGTAAAGGAGCTCTGAGAAAGTGAGAGAGCGAAAAACAGAACAATAAAATTAAAAAGAAAGACCATAGAACGTGTGAGAGAGAGTATGTAATTGGGCTGGAAAATTGCTTTCATAAAGAATTACGATGAACACACCGCTATGGATAAATAATTAGATACTACGTGTAGGCAGAACAAACAAAAAATGACAAACTTTTAGTTGCTATGGCAACCTGTAACGGACAGGTGGTACATGTTAACTTATTCATTGCAGATATGCTTATCCTTGACGGTGGTGCATGTTACTGTAGTGGGACTCGTATCCTATGATTATAATTTTTTACGCAAAATTCTCGCTGAACTAGTAAAACGCAAATGTTTAGCTGTGCTAACAAAGAGCGTACATAAGAGTTGAAGAAAAAGATATGATGAGCCATTATAGATATATATTCGGTTCAACCTTTCATTAGCATGAGCTATACCATCCACAAACCATACTGATTCTACCCGTCTCAGTCCTCTACAGCATTTGCATAGGGCAGTATTGCCACACTGACTATCTTGACAGTTTTCTGTTTATTGAAGAGTTATATTGCAGAGGAGAAACTTTTGCAAAGCTTTTAACCCTTTGAGAGCGAGTTAGGTGCTTGTGAACCGTGTGCGCTGGCAGTGCAGCGTATAGGAAAGGGCATCATTAGAAGATGATGTAATTTTGAAGTTCCGAAGTTTGCCCATCTCCTGCCGTTTAACGTCTACGAGTTGAAGCAAAAGGAACAGGTGGCTTGTGCTGAACCCCTGATTATAACGATTACAGGCAACCGATACGAGTGGTAGAGCCGCCGCCACAGGTTAAAATGCACAACGCAAAGTTTGGCAACTTTCCAATACTTCGCCTGGCGTAATATTGTAATTCTCTAATCATGCTAGCATGTGTTTCAACATGCTCGTCTCGTGACGTTCCGATCCGTGACATTGGATTATTCGCTTGAATTTATACGAGCACAGATCTATATGCATATGTTGCCATGCATGAATAAAGTGGTCGGGAAGCAAAAGTTGTCCTGCGAGGTAGCTCGTGTGACAAGTAAACGCCATTACCGAGTTCGTCGTAAGTCATGTCACAGCCCAGAGAATTCCCGTGGCACGATGCAGCTGCTGTAACACGACCCTGTAATAACTAAAAGCTTAGTATCGAATAGTTCTTTCGTTGTTCGTTATACAACTTTCAAAATGCCCACAACCCATAACTCGAGATAGCTCATTGCACACGTGCAGTCTTGCCATGCGTTGCGCTAGCCAAGTGTTTCGTTTCGAAGCGAAAACCGCTCTAGACCAATGAAAGATTGTAGCGTTTACACGCCTATCTACAACATAGGACTGTATTCATCGGCTTCTACAGTGGGGTTCATTGGATGAACGATCGCCGACAGCGTTTGGTTTGGACGCTAATGACTTACTTACCGGCACGGACACCGTCCTGCTTAGTATTACGTTTGCATCTCTAACAGAGCTGAGCTTCACTGTGCTAAAACTCTTCCTGTCTCGGGCGGCAGGCGAGATCTTGGCGAAACGGCGACCTCACATAGGTTCACTACAATTTTCTGAACCGGAACAGCTGGCAATCCCGGAAACGGCAGTAGAGGCGTACGGCCACCACTACTATCTGCTTTCCGTTTCCTGTACGAGCCAACGCCATGTCTCTCTCGGTTTTCCTTGCTCTTTCCCGCCTACATGTCATGACTGCAAGTGAACAGAACGCAAACTGTTGTCGCTGCGAGGCAGCAGGATTCCCTCCTTGTGTCTACATTACGGTTGTATCTATTGTAGACATTTGGTACGTGTTATCGCATATGCAGATGAAGGTGTACAACAATTCATATTTATAGAGACTTTTCCGCTTTCTTGCCACATTATCTATAGGGTGCGACTGCTGTTAAACGTGTTCTGTCAGCGCGTTCAACGATTAACCCCATTATTATTACTACACAATCAATGTGTGGCGTCGCGAAATATAATTAAATTATACTATAGTAGATTACGCCAGCGTCCTAGCAAACGTACGTATTCTTGTTGGTTTATCGGGAGAAATGGATAAGTATCAGTTCTATACTAACATTCATTTAGCCATTAGGGAAATAGCTGAAGAACAACATTATATCGGTTCACCTTAAAGCGTGCTAATTTTCGTAGTTTTAAACGCTCAAGTTGTAAAGAGGCAGGCCTTAACTTTGCTCGGTTCAGAACGCATGAGTTCAGTACGCCTCTTAAATGGCCTAAACACGCAAAGGCCCGCGTAACTGACTGGTCTCAATCGAGCTAAACTTCTAGTGGATTATTATACATTCTTCGTGCATTTATACTATAGGAATTAAAGACTCGAAACGGTTATTATTTTCTTTTATTCAGCCTTAATATTGCTTCCTGCTATTAAGCACCGACAATGAAGTTAAAGCATTGACCCAATCATTACTTTTTTATTGCTCTAAGATAATATAAGAGCAAATTATTGACAAGTGGCTTTTTGACCAGTTTTTAGTCTGCTCCTTTGTACTATTTTACACAAATGACAATTTGTCACTCAAATTATGCGTCATTTTGTTAGACTCACGAGCGATTTGTTTAAAGCAAACTCCTTTCGTCTAAAGCAGTTCACGACGGTGTTGCAGAAGAGCTCATAGTAAACGTAATGTGTTCAAACGCCCTTAAACGGCAATTCTTTTCCTTGGATCGAAGTATCTAGGCAGGGACGCTTCGATCGCAACGTTCAAGCTAATATGCTGTTGTTCGGACCTCTGCGATAAGGTGATGATGGGCTGGCGTGATTCCTGATGAGCGCCATAGCAAGTGAGTAGTCTGTGCTAAAGAAGTTACCGATCGGTAACCTGTCTTCTTTACTTAATATCGTTGTGGCCAAAAATACTTTGCATCGTAGGTTGTAAGACCTCAGCCCAAATAATCACGGCACGAGATAATTTAAAAGTAGAGACAGAACCCCTAAATCCAGCTCAGTCTCCTAGGTATTGGAGACGCCCACCATCATGACGTTATTAGGTTGAAAACACCTGGCAAAGGGCAGAATAAAGGGGTTACGTTAATATGTCCTTGTCGTGTTCGCTAAAGCCGCAATTATGCAGCTTTGACTCTGACGCAACTAATTCCTATATTTGTCCGGATCTATGAAACCATTTGCACCCAATAACAGCAGACATCTGAAGATTTAGAGCAGTTTATTTATATTACTAAACGGAAGGTTAAAAGTTATAATGATGCAGTATCATGACGAAATTCTATGAAATACTAAATGATTCCATTAGTTGAAATAATGATTACTGAAAAAAGGCAAGCAAGACAAAGAATAAATTGAGTTAGCATGCACTCTCTTAACTCCCTAGCTATCCACGATGCACGCAGAGATGATACGTCCAATTTTTTCCAAAGCAACTTTGAAGACCGTGTTTTATGACCATGATAGATGAAGACTGCCCCACAAAAGTCCATATCAACGCCGTCGTTTTTTCAGGTGGATATCATAGGTAATCAATCATTTGACGGAATCAATTCATCTTGCGCTAATATTAATAGTATTCATAATTGCAATATGCTTCACCGTTATCACTTTTACTTAATTGTAGCGCGAAAGTTTATAGCGCCGTATATCTACCGGCAAAGGTGGCCATGCATATCAACCCAAACGCAGACGAACACAATTATCGTTTTTTAGAGTACTCTAGATTCAAGTAACTTATGCTGCACGCAGTGTGATGTAAACATTTCATCTTTTCGGTCTTGTTACTCTGGTTATTTTCATATTCAAAACGGTTCTACATCTATTCTGAGCTAGCGTCAAACGAATTGCGCATCCCACGTAGCCAAGAGGGCAGGGCTCTGGCAAAAGTATAGACCGCGAAAGCTTTCCGTACAGTCTGGTGGATGTCTGTTCGAAAGAGTAAAAAACGTAATGATTAAGTTCATTCCCGCTACTCGTTGCCCTTTCAGAGATCATGTAGTAAACTTGTGCGGTTTTCTGTGATATTCTGCTTCCTCATTTGCACTATCGAAAAAACCTTATAGGAAACGGCTTTACGCTTCGTACTGCCTCTGGACTAGCAAAGCGGTAAGTGGAGTTGCCTGTTTATGCGATTGAACCGAACAGCATATGTTAAGAGTGAACCGCGAACAGACGTGTATTAGGCAATTCATTGGCCTTACCTCTGAATAGGCTAACATGGGCCTGTTTATCATATAAGGGCGAACTGACATGGCTGGTGGATATCTTTAAAACTTTAAAGAACAAATTTGAGCTTTCGGTAAAAGGGTAAGTTAGCCCGAGATGTCTTTAGTGAAGACAGGGAACCATAATACGGTCCAAAAGCTTCTTTCAGGAGATAGAAATAGTTTTTGACGTTTTTATCGCCATTTTGCTAGACTAAATTGCTGAAATTAAGCAAGCACATGATTGTATTCTTCTCACAATCAAATAATTTCTTCACCACCTTGTTCTGTTTAAATGATGACGTGCTTTCTACAAATGTTTTCCGAGCAGGAAAGCGTCCCAGAAGCAGGCAGGGTACGAAAGGTACTCTGAGACCTGAACACTTAGAAGAATAGACTTGATACGGGTGGATAGGCACACAGAATATTATAACAAAATGATCGAATAACTCAAATTGGCGCTCTGTGGCACTTTTGCTTCTCACAGTCGATTTACTAATTAGCGTATAGCAAAAGCGTTTGTTAAAAAACGACCGTTATTTTAGCTTATCGTAACCCAAAAACACATGTCTGATTTGGTTGTGCTAACACTGACACATACTCTACGCGCGACTGGCACAGTTAATTCTATTTGGTCCAATAGAATTGGACCCGCTTAATTAACACTCTACTCTCGAGTACCAACCACTTCTGAGTTTTGATGTGACAAATCGCAAGAGAAGTTTTACTTCTCTATTCTTCTATGTACCTTATATATTTAAACGGATTTTTTTAGCCAACCTGAACGTTGACCGATAAAAAAACAACTTGTAATAGTTCAAACGGATCTAGCAGAACAAAGCTTCAGAATAGAGATCTCTTAGTTTGGCCTGAGCTGGCAGCCAATCAACTCTATATTATTCTAAAGTACAAGTATTAAAGTAAGATAATGGTGTGACATTATTGATAATGGTTCATACTATCAATTCAAATCTTATTAATTTGCTGCAAGCTTGACACTTCTTATCGTGCTTGCCATTGTTACCAAGTCCAAAACATCAGCCTGTACTTGTGTAGCCTCATGGCTAGCCGATAAAGGTAACTGTATTGTATCAACTGACCAAAAAAAGCGGAATAATTGTAATTTTACGACCCACTTCCTTTAATTAGACTATTTTAAACAATTCCTGAGCCTTTTCTGACCTGCAAATTAGCAAATATTGGCAAAGTCTCTTGTTTGATCGGAGTACGAATTCTAATGGCATTGTTTATCCAGTCGTAACATTTTTAACTTTTTTTTTTCGCAGTCCTTAGCTTACAGCCTTTTGGTATCTCATCGAAGGCGCGCATGTTGTCTTGTAGAAACCACCCAACATCACATGCAAGGAAACGGCTTCCGTGACAATGACTAGATTCGCGCTACGAATTAAATATTTAACGATGCTTTCTTTCGTCGACAGAAATTGCACTTGGCCTCACTGTCATAATAGGCACTAACTGGTGCATGCCCCTGCACGACGGTCGTCGCCGAATGAGATATTATCAATAAATCTGATAATGATGAACGGTATAGAAGCGATAGACAAACGAGATTATCACAGGGAGAGAACGCCCGGAACATAGTCTTATCTATTTCCTGCGACAGAAATATAGAGACGACACAGATATTCAAATATTTACGTAACCATTTAATAATCAGAAAAACAAACTTGAAGTTACAATACGTAACACAGACACAGTGTAAGACGCAAAAGAAAAAAGAACAACAGCTTGAGGCCGACCGAACTGATGCTATGCTTCATTTATCAGGATATATACACTGTAAATCAGTGAGAACGCGCAGTAGTCTCACTATCTACTCGAAATCTGGGTGCTTATCGGACGATCCAAAGCAGAATTGAGAAGTATGTAAACTCCAGCTATAAAGTAACTGATTGAGTGCGTTCTGGCTATAGGACAAAGCGCTCCCATCGCGAATTTGCTGTTCCAGCAGACACACCTCTATGATCTTCGTTGTTTTGTCAAATCATCGACATCGTTGCAACAGGGTGCATGGCAGGAAATGTCAAACATATGTTTTGGGCATCAAAGCATCTTATACGTGGTATATCGAAGTATTGCAATATATAATCGTTCTCTTAAAAATATTTATATAGAAGCCATAAACATAAAAACAAAGGCATTTGTATGATATGTTGCTCAAGACATACCTCGCGTCAACATGCATTGCACAATTTGCTTCTGCGAATAGGGTCATAATGCCTTGCGTGCAGTGCACCTCAAGCATGTACTTGTCTGTGGAGTCGAATGAAACCTACCCACTCAGGTACATACATACCTTTATATATACACGCTCATTTATTAGCCTGTTAATTTTTAACCATGTAAATGCAAAAAATACAAGTTTCAAGCGTTCTAATGATTTCCGCTTTGTTGCTATTGATGCTGCATTCTACCCGGGATAGTTCCAGGCTCTACAATGCCTACATTCCTCTGAGAGAAGTGTTGTCTTTGCTTTGCCGCTGTTGGTAATTGGCATTGCATTTTTACTCATTTGTTATTACATTGCTGTCCTCGCTCTACTTGCCCCGTTTCATAATCTCATTTCCTTCACACACACGTTTCAAGTCATCGGCCGCTGTGGTGCATGACCATGGACGACTGTGCTTTCATGTTCTTTTATGCTGATGTTCGTTATTTACACACACGGCGCCCAAAAAAGTTCCTTTACATCTCGTTCAGGACTCTGCGACTGTTCCGCTCCATTCGTTTCGAAGAATTGGCACTGCACGTGGTAAAGAACTAAGTGCCCAAGAGAACTTTCCTTGTTACCTCTTCAAGACTCAGTCAATGAGACGTATGGCACACAAATGCCGATTTCTTCCTAAACATAGACACACACAGGTTCGTAGGGCGCGTCCATCCTATTTCATCTAATTGGTTTGTTGTTTTAACAGTTTAACCGATGTGAGTCACTTAACTCGCGACCACTTTTGTGTGCGTTGCACGCCAATAAAGGAGCTCCGTTCAGCTATCCTGGCTTAATCTGTTGAGCTCTCAGTATATGTGCGTGTTTGTGTACACACATATGGTGAGTGTGGGTGTTTTTTTGTGAGAGACCATTTAGCAAGCCAGGGGTTTGACAATAGCCACTGGCCAACGGTATTTCTAGGCTGTATCGCTATATCGCACTATATAGTAGGTCTTAAGTGCTAAGCGCTCTTCCCAACTGGGAGACTGTTGCTGTCTCAAACGAACCGCTACCTTAACCTACGGCAAACAAGAAAAATATATGCTTTATATTATACAAACGCTAACTGTACACTGAGCGAGAATGGGCAGAATAAATGCCATAAATGGGGTCAAGCGAATCCCTCGCGCTGGAACTTAGAGGACATCGCTCTGTCACAGCCAACAGGCTAAGCTAACTGCAATAAACATATGCCAACGTTACATAGACGCCAGGTAAAGCTTCTTGGAGAACGAGGGTGAAGTTACTACAAGTTCGAGTCCGAGTACGAGCCGATACGCGAGCCACCCACCAGCAGTTGATTACTCCATCCAGATGTTAGGCGGGGACAGACCGGCTCAAGGGAATAGAAATACACCCAGCAGGTCACAGGCTAGAGGTAGGTTAGAGCGGGTTTTAGAGCTCCAAAGTGTCCAAAGTGAGGCCATTTAGACGATGAACCCCAGGAGATTGCATGTCGCAGAAAGGCATGTCGTTTCAGAATAGTCACAGGCCTGCTCTCTCCTTTTTGACTCTCTTGCTTGCTCCGTGTTTCGTTTTTCTGCCTCGGCACCCTCCGTTCCCAGACTTCGTTTCTTTCTCTCTTCCCCTGGATTCCCCCACGCTACATCGATTCAGGATATCATCTTGGGGAAGCATCAGGGTTGCCTGCTGCGTACTCCCTCATCCTTCTAACATTGTCCTGTCGAACGATGACAATGCTGAGTCTACGAGCGTGATTGGAGATATCTAGACGTTCATCAGTGTATAACCAAGAACCGAGCAAAAATCTTAGTTATGTGCAGCAAATGTCGTGATCGGTGGTCAATCATCTGGGCACACCCTATGCTTGGAGCTGTGAATGTTGACTAACTTGAACCTGATCGATGTATCTAGCATCCACATCAACGTTTCCTTGTATTATCTCTGCAGGGATCGGTGTTCAGACATGACACGATGCAAGTACTCTCTCGGGGAGACCATTGTAGAAATATGGTAGAGATATAGGCTTAAAAATGGTATCCATGACCGGTACAGTTATAACAGTTACACCTGGCGATGCTCTGTCAGGATCATGGATAAGGAGAGAGGATATCGTGCTGCGGACAGGTGCAACAACTAGTCTTTTGACAGTCAAGGCCCACACGAATCCCTGTGGGAGCACAGATAGAACTCGAACTGATAGATGGTTATCCGAAATATGAATTTCTACGGTGTCAGAATTCACTCATTTCGGAGATGATGTTTTACAGCGCAATAATCGGTGTAAGTGATATGCAGTAATTTTGACAGCCAACGCCCATAGACCGGTGCGTCCATTTCGCAATAAATGCGAGTTTCATATCTGCCTTAAGCAAAATAAGATAGATAAACACAAAAATCTGCCTTGTCTATTAAACTGATATTGTCCAAATCTGAAACTATTCGCAATTTTTAAAGAAAAATACACCTTTGATATTAATTAATAAACGAAAATTATAGACTTTATAAAGCTCTGGCCCTACGTGACTGAAGTAAGATCTACATTCAATTAATGTAGCATATATATATATATATATGCTACATTGGCACTCTGTAAAAAATGAAAAGGAAGTAAGCAATGTTTTTATATTTTCTAACCTTAACATTAAATTCACCACATATTTAAACCTTAATTATAAAAGCAGTAACTCTTTTCAGAGATTGGTCACAGGAATAGTTACCCGGAGAACAATACTCACAAATCGATAGGTTTAATGTTAAACAATAGTTTTTACAATGTACGAATGTAAGGCTTACCTCACGCATTATTTAATTTAGGCGACCAACCTCAAAAAACTGTTGAAAGAATTGGTATATGCCAGTGCGTGTGTTTCGTTTGCAAGTTACCGAGATAAGAAGATCGACGATTGAGTACTTTTTGCTTTTTTACATGAAGTTAGGGAGAATGCAAATGCTTTACGAAGTCCGACGAACTACAATCACTGTATTACACATTTCGTTTTCAAGATGTTCAGTCAAACCGCATTATATGTAGCCCTACACCTCTGTTAGGTAACGTATTTCCTTAATTTTTTCGCTGGCAGCAGTACGATATATATTCGTGAGGTCTTTGTTTTGTCTTCTTCTTTAACCTAGTAGTTTTCGGCCTTCCTTATTCCCGTTAGTCTTCGAAAGCGCAACGCGGTTAGTTCCGGTCCAAATTCTCTAACATAACAGCGCTAAGAAGTAGCAAACAGACTGCCTGCTTTGTATTCATATGTAAAACGGTCTCTACAAGCTGAGTCATGGAATAGGAGCGTTGAGAACATTAAGAGTCACATAGCACTCCGTGGCTCAGCCAGACTCTTTTGGAGGTACGTACATTTTTCAACACTCTCGTCCCGTTATTGCAACGAACTCTGTTCCACAAGAGGGGAGAAAGCATCGTAAAGAAAGACAAAGAATAAGATCCACAAAGCTATGCCCAGTATTGCTTCGGCTATCCTATGAAAATTTTCCTGCCGGTCGTTTGATCTATGCATGGCAGTCTCGCTGTTTATCATGAAGCAGAACGCCCAAAGGGTATAACGCATCCGCTTGCTAAATGATAAATGCCTGATTTTAATTCATTTCGAATTTACAAGTTAAGAAATTGTTCAGATTCTCCAATGAGAATCCACACATTATTTAAATAAGGACAAAATTTTGTTGATTATTTACGATCTAGTAAATTAGAGCGGCTTATTTTTATTAAGGGGCTTTGGAAAGTCGAAAAGAACACCAAAGTGTGCGCAAGAAATATAATAATAATATAACACAGATTGTTACCTCTAGTGGTTTACCAAAGATGAATAGGATTGCTGACAATGATCTAGCGCTATCTAGATCAAAATAATCAATAGCTGATATATTAGAATGGTTGCGTAAACACAAACAGTAATGAAGAGCGAATCTACGTTGCGGCTAACTTCTTCATGTAGTATCAACTGGCAAACTTACATCATCAATTATAATGGAACAATTAAACTTGATTTATACCTATCGCGTCTTTCGCTCTACCTCGTTTGTTTTACTCTACCTCTTTTTATGAGGCTTATTATGTAGAGTTGTCTTTTCCTAAATATAAATTGCACTAAATATGGGACGTACTCATTTTTACTTTAAACTAAGTTATTCCAGTGTACATTTTCACCTCTGGATCTATTATTCTACCTAGCCGAACTTAAGTCTACGAAGTGATTTTCTTCTGTCTTTTTTCCATA